TAACATAGTAATTCTAGGCTAATAACCGGAATAAGAACACATAACATTTTCAAAAACGGATATCATGGTTAGTAGAGGCCGATCTTCGAATTGGGCGAGAGGGGGTGCTTATAGCTGACCTTCCCCAATCGTACCCAAGTTACCGAGCCGAGGCAACTTTGGTGATGACCGACACGTGGCCTTAGGCAAACGAGTCAGGGTTTCCTAAATTTCCCAAAATAAAATATTTAGGTGTCGACTCTGTATCTGGCAAAGCAGTCCATGTTTGGCACTTCTTTCAAAAAAATCTGTTTTCAAAAACGATTTGCCATATTTGGACTCTTTGATGATTCATCGGTCTTGCATTGCACTCTGCGAGATTAGATACAGGACCATGACACCAATTGAGTCTGAACTGTAGCATGAGGCCCGGGGGCGCGTCTACACTTGGTTTAGCCAAGTAATGCATGATTTAGGTATCTTCACGCCGCAAGCAATAGAGAACTCAAACCTTCGAATTTTTAACTCAAGTTTTGTGTTTTGCCGAAATTGGAAGATGAGAAAAAAGAATAGGATGCTCTTATTTCATTCACATTGTCGTCATCTTTTTCCTTTTTCCTTTTTCTTTCCAAATCTCTATTCAAATCCATAATTCAAAACACACCATTAGGATTTATTGTAGGGGTTCGAATTCTATCAATTTGGCTATCCAACTTGAGAGAGCGTTTGAGCTTTGTGGGCTCATTTTGAGCTCAATGATGATTCGAACTATTCACATTGTAGGACTCGTTTGAGTAGAATATTCATCTAAAAAATCCAGATGATCGGACATTGGTTGCTATATATTTGAATTACATTTGTTTTAAAAAAATGGACGACAATTATAGTTACAAGAATAACGATCCATTTTTTGTAATACAAATGTGATCCAAACATATATTTACTAATGTTTTATCATTTTATCTTTTGCATGAATATTCTACCCAATGAATTCTAAAAAGTGAACAGTTAGGATCACCAAGGTTGGCCCAAAATGGGCCTGCCAAGAGCAAATGTTCTCTTAATTGAGATGGCCAACTTGAGAGAATCCAAACCCTTATTACAAAACATTTTGGAAGTTGGAAAATATGTTCATTTACATTTTTGTTTTGAAACTCTAGACAATGGTAAAGCCTCGATTATCTATCAAAATGCATTTCTTTTCCTGATCTTAACATTTTCCTTGTTCTATTGGAATAAATGGTGCATTAAGTTTTGTCCTATTTTGATGTCAACTTGTAATTTATATTGTTGTTATGTAATGCAGCGTTGTTCTGATTTTGTGTTTACTTCTATTCATGATGTTATATATATATATATATATTAATTTTATTTGCTGGGGTAATTGATGGGTGTAAATTTTTATAAATGAACTCATGGAATCTACAAATTTGAAAGAACAAACGTTTAATTTCTTTTTCTCTTTGAGCCAGTGGGGAGGGGATATGGCTATGTTTGGTTTCAATCTATAGATCTTTTTTTTTTTGAAAACTAGAAACTAGTTTGACAAAAATAAATTTTAAAAATTATTTTTCTCATCCAAAAAGATAGAACTATATAAAAATGATAAGTGTTTTTAATTTTTTCATGAAACTAATTTTTACTTTTTTAGAAAGAATTTTTTAAACAAGTTTCCGAAAACCAAACCAAACATAGGTAGTGGTTTTACAAATGGTGGTCTGCTCCAAAAATGAACTGACCTACCTATTTAAAAAAGAAAAGAAAAGAAAAGAAGATCTGTTTTTTTTCTTTTTTCATTTATTGTTATTTATTGATTTGATTTTGGACTGAGGAAATTAATGCAAAAATATAGTGATTTTGATATTGGCCTGATACATTAGTAAATGCATTTGTTGGCATTGTTTTGTGTAACTTGTTGTGAGTGAAGGGATATATTGGTAATTTTGTCTAAATGTGCAACATTTTCCCTCTATTTTGTTGGATTAATGAATTTTCGTACTCTAAATTCAATTTATTAGTGCTGTCATGAAGATTTTAATAGATGAACATTGTCAATAAGAATATCTATTAATATAATGAGAAACATCATTCTTTTTCATTTTAGGGCACAGAATCTGAGGGACTCTCTTGCAGAAGCAAAATCAGACATTGTGGTCAAGGTGTTGTTTGCATTACTTTTGATATTATATTTATTTCTCCCTTTTTGTTCTGTGAATTGGTCTCTCTTAACATGTTTGTTGTGTTTGCTTTGTAATACAGATTGGTCTCAGGAAGGGTTCTCGTTCCTTTTCTGAGGCACGCGCTGCTGGTTTTAGTGAAGAGAATGGAACCCTCAGTGACATATGGGAGACAATATCTGGCAGTGATTTGGTACTGCTCTTGATTTCTGATGCAGCACAGGTTTGTAGATTGTAAAGTTGAGGTGATGTTGCTACATGATTATACATTCTGAGAGACCCCAACTAATTTGGAAAAAAAAAAGCTTATGGCTATACATTCCCATGCTTCTCCATTGCAACTACCAGGGTTTTAAGTAAGAAAAACTGAGAATATGATCCTAAAACTGTAACTAACTTTGTGTGCTTCTTTAATGGTGCATATGAAATTGTGTCCTCTTGAAATTTTAAAATCTAGTATCTTTTTCTTTCTTTTTATTTTTATTTTTATTTTTATTGCTGAATGTAGAAGAAATCACTACATATAAATATTATTAGTTTCTCTGTTCTTGCTTTCTGTACTTCAAAATTGAAGTATAGCATTAAATTAGTGAATTCTTATTCCTAAACCTGCCTTCACAGCTATTGGGGTTTAAGAGAGAATATGATCTATGTATTTGTTAGCATCGTCTTGATGCTCTTTTTTTAATAAAGTTACTCCTATTTATTCCAAAAAAGAAAAAAGAAAAAAAAAGAGTGAATATGATCTATGAATTCATAACTTCTGCACTTTCTCTTTAATGCTACATCTAGAAGATATTTAATTCTGCCAAATCTGCTGCTCCTTATGCTGGATGTGAAATAACTTGCATCATCCAGAAAGCTAGCAGGTTCTCCTATTCCTGGTCTTGCTTTCTGTGCCTTGTGTAATAGGTAAAGTGATCAAATGATGAATCTCTTCAATTATATGTTGTGAGTATATGAATGCAAGATGAGAGATAATTTAGATCTATAAAATCTTAAATTGATACTAGTGGCTTGCATATAGTTTATTTTAAAGAACAAAAAAAAGCCAGCATATTTATCAAAATGACAGAATTCATGGAAAGAAGGATCAGGGATCCTTCAAAGAGGAAGAAAACCAAAAAAAATACAACTTAGTGCAAGTGAAGGGAAGGCCAAATAGAGGTAAATATAAACAAATCATGCACCTACTAAAAAAAAAAAAGGAAAAAGAAGTGACTTGTCATAATAATGACAAGATTATGAGACTTAGTTGGACTGTAGTCAATTTAGGCCTAGTAATGATGAATATAATGGTGTTGGTTAGATGATTTGTACATTTTAACATGATGTGGGTGTGTGTTATATTCTTTATTCTATTCAGTCCTCTTGTACTTGTTCTTAATTTCAATATTAATTGCAGGCTGATAATTATGAGGAAATATTCAAACACACGAAGCCAAACAGCATACTTGGGCTGTCCCATGGGTTTCTTCTTGGCCATTTGCAGTCAATGGGTCTTGATTTCCCCAAGAACATGAGTGTGATAGCTGTATGTCCCAAGGGAATGGGTCCGTCTGTGAGGAGACTCTATGTTCAAGGAAAAGAGATAAATGGTGCTGGAATAAATTCTAGTTTTGGCGTACACCAGGTATATAAACCGTCTGTGTTTTCTTATTGCCTCTGTATGTTTCATTTGACTGTAGCTACTCAACATCTTTGTGGACAGGATGTTGATGGCAAAGCCACTGATGTTGCCCTTGGATGGTCAGTTGCCCTTGGTTCTCCTTTTACATTTGCCACTACACTGGAACAGGAATACAAGAGTGACATATTTGGCGAGCGAGGTGCTTGTCGTTTTCTTCATTCTTATTTTGTTATTCACCACAATGCTATATCCAAGATCTGTTTGTTTTGATTCATAGGAATTTTACTCGGTGCTGTGCATGGAATTGTTGAGACCTTGTTCAGAAGGTATACTGAAAATGGAATGAGTGAAGATTTGGCTTACAAGAATACTGTTGAGTGCATAACTGGGAATATTTCGAAGACCATATCAACTCAGGTTAGTGATAAAAAACTTGGATTTCATCCCTTACAAGAATTTTTGTGCCTCGATTCTTTACCAGTTTTGAATTTCTTTATCTTTTCAAAACGAGTATGTTTACCTAGCCGTATGTTGCTTGTTTTATTCCCTCTGAACAGGGCATGTTGGTGTAGACACCCCATTTTTGACCGTCCTCAAGACTTGGACGTCACCGTTTGAACACTCGGTGATCATCCATGTTTGTGTTCGTTTGGAGTTCCCGGAGGCCTCGGCTCGCGCGCCTTGCCTCAGGATCCCCGAACTCGGCTGTTTAGTGTCTGGTTTTGCACCAAACACTTTTGTTTTGCCTTAGAGGGGCAGGGAATGCCTTGTGAGACATCCCCATACACCACCGGCAGTGGCTGGAGGCCACCGGCTGGTCTTTTTCTTCCATCGGCAATTTTGTTTGCCGGTCGGCACACTGTATTGCCGGTCGGCATAATATGTTGCCGGTCGGCACTGTTTTTTGCCGGAATAGCTTTTTTGGGCAGCCGACCACTGTTCCTCCACTTTTTGGAGATATTTTGTGCCAGCTGTGATAGCTGGCACCAACTCCTTTCCCCTCCATACACGTGTATGGAGGGATTTCCCTCTAGCCAAGCTTGTTGAATAAGCTTTGCAAGAGGGATCCTTATAAGAGTTTTAAAATAGTGTTCATTTAAGCATGGTCAATGAAGAAGCATGGTTTATTGGATAGATCTCTGTTAGGTTGAATCAAATAATGGCATCTCTTTTGAATTTGTGTCTAATTTTTATCTTCTGGAACTTCACATGGTGAAAAGAAAGATATTTATAATGTAAAGCACTAATAATGCACTGAGAAATTATGTTATCTTCAATCATTTGGTCTGACAAATCTTTATAAATTATATGTTTGTAAAAACAGATTGAGGTTCTGAGGAAGAAAGGACACTCCTACTCTGAGATCATCAACGAAAGCGTAATCGAGGCTGTGGATTCTTTGAATCCATTCATGCATGCCCGTGGAGTCTCGTTCATGGTTGATAACTGTTCAACCACAACTCGGCTAGGATCCAGGAAGTGGGCTTCGCGTTTTGACTACATTCTGACCCAGTGGGCCTTTGTGGCGGTAGACAATGGTGATCCCATCGACCAGGACCTCATCAGCAACTTCTTGTCAGATCCCGTGCATGGGGCGATGGAAGTTTGTGCTCGACTGAGACCTACTGTTGACATCTCTGTGCCCCCTGATGCTGACTTTGTTCGGCCAGAGTTGCGCCAGTCTGGCAACTAGGTGTTGAAGGACAACATTTAGTTTGTGCTGTAGCTAGTTTCTATTTAAGAGGAGATGTTTGAGGGAGAGAAGTTTTTTTTTAAATCGTAAGAGCACCAGAAAAGGTTTGTCTGGTCTACTTTTGACTTTGTTAATCCATATTAGTAAATTGCTTTGTGTTTTGTGCTTCTGCGAATGAATGAACGAGATATTATTATATGCAGTGTTTGTAATTTTGGGAAAAAATAAAATTTAAAGCAATGCTTTTGTGTAGTTATAATATAATTTAAGGTATTATTGGCAAAGTGAGGCGGTATAATTTTGAGATTGAATTAGGAATTTGGTGGGGCCCACAACTTAAATGGATTGTATTGAAAGTGAGTGAATTGAGGGAAAGAAACACATCATATTCCCCATGTATATATGAACATGATTCAAAGGTTTCAATAGTTCTTTGGCCTATATATATATGCCAAGACCATGATTCAATGCACAGTGATGTACTACATACACATTCTTGCCATGCCCTATTAGTGAGCAAACAAGAGTTGCCGAGAAGCCACATTAACCAGCGATATCTATAGTTTTACCTTCATTTACTTGTAATATTCAACTTTATGCTGTGGGATATGAAGCATCCACAGCAATGGCGTAGAGGCTTTCCTTTGCATCAATATCTCTCAGCATGAAAATGTACCCTTTTTCACCCGAATTTGTTTCCCGTGAGTTTTTATTGGGGAATACTTGGTCCCATCGTTTGCAATCCCATAACCATTAGGGAATAAGTAAAGAACTCATGGGAACCGGAGGTGTCCCCTTTACTTTTGGTAATCTATCATCTCTAATTATGTTCTATGCATCTTTTAATGGTATCAATGTGAATATACCTAAAACCCTGAGCCAATTGACAAATTTAAATGGTCTTGAATTGACGCAAAACAAGTTGGTTGGTTCCATTCCTTCCTCCATCTTTAATCTCTCTTCCATCACAGTTATTGATATAGTTGGGAACCAAATTAGGGGACGCTTCCCTCAAACATCAGAATTACTCTTCCTAATCTTTAATGGCTTAACAGTGGACTGAACTTGTTTACTGGGTCCATTCCTATTTCAATGTCTGATGCCACCAAGCTATATCACTAGGACTTTGGAAGCAATAAATTTATTGGAAGAGTGCCTCCTTTGGAACATATGCATGATCTTGTACGGTTAAACTTTCAATATAATAATCTCGGAATTGGAGAAGTTGGTGACTTGAATTTTCTCAACTCATGGGTCCAAGCCACCAATTTGAACTTCCTTGATCTGAGCAGCAACAACTTTGGAGGGGTGTATCCTAAATCAATCAGTAATTTCTCTACTAATTTTGGTAAACTTCGCTTGTAGAACAAGAAAATAGTTGGAAGCATCTCAACCAGAATGGGGATTTGGTCAATTTGCAGTTTCTCGACATGTCAAACAACCAATTCACAGGTGTTGGTGATAATTACAAATAAAACACCAGAAAATATAAATAATAAAAATTACAATAACTATTGTAAGGGCTGAGGCGCGGGAAATTTGCTCTCTTTAAGGAGATTCAAGCCCTTTGCGGTTAGGCAAAGTCTCACACCGGTGTAGTAGAAAAAATCTTGACTTGTCCCCCCCATGATACAACAGCCCGACTAAGTCGTATGGTTTACCAATACTGCACAATTGGTTGAACCCAAAGCTTTATCATATACACCCTTTTTTATTTGCCTGATAATCTCGCATAAAACATAATAAAGCAACCAAAACTTCTTCTCATATGTTCCAAGATAGGAGATTAGCTCAATTTATAGAAGATGAAACTTGGTGGACAAGTTTCTTGGAGGATTCTTCTTGGAAGTTGCTTGGAGGCTCCTTGGAAGTTGCTTGGAGGATAAATATGAAGACTTGACTCTTGGAAGACTTGAAGGAGACTTGACTAGGCAAAGACTTGGAGGATAAGAATAGGAAAGGAAATTGGTGGGCAATTTCCTTGGAAGACTTGAGAAGAAGACTTGGAGGAAAAGAAAACAAATCAAACCAATAACACATTATAATATTGAAATATCTGCTAACATTCCCCACCTATTTTAATATTATAGGTAACAAAAACTGAGATTATTAGACAAATAAGGATATTATGCATCATGGTAAGTGTGCTCTGCATTGAACCTCCATTAGTGAAACAATAATATCTACTCCAGAGCCAATAGTATGCTCAGCATTGAACTATGACTACTTAAGGGAAATAAATAATTATTGCGCACACATAATATTCCAGGTGTTCACATAAGCTTTAAAAGCCAGCACATTACGGCCTTGTGCGATCCCAAGATTCATGAGTGTGTTTGAGAATTAGCCCAAATCTCATAGGTAGCTACCCCACTACCACACTCACATAGGTGAATTCTGTCAAGGGTGCTCCTGTAACTATGACACCCCACTCAATAAGAGCTACAAAAATTCATTAAGAGTTTTTTAATAACTCAACCTCTACAACGTTACAGGATAAATGAACTTACATCATATGGATGGACAAAAAGTAATTTAGTGCATTTCTCACGGCCATCATATGATCGTTTTTCTTATTGAACCCAGTTACATGATCTCTGGTCCCTGGGTTGAGTATCCTCATACATGGCTCCTGCTATATTCAATGGGCTTCAACCCCATCCCCCTCGATGTATTCCAGACTCTATCTCTTGCTAAGGCCTTAGTTAATGGATCTGTAAGATTATCACCAGATTTAATATAATCCACATTTATGATGCCATTATTCATATAAGATCTCACAACACTGTGTTTTCTTCTGATAGGTCTGGATTTACCGTTATAATAACGATTATTAACTCGACCAATTGCAGTGGTGCTATCACAATGAATCAATATAGGTGGAATCGGTTTTTCCCAACAAGAGATTTCATTTAACAAAATCTCTTAACCAATTTGCTTCTTCACTAGCTGTAGCTAAAGCAATAAGCTCAGCCTCCATTGTTGAATTAGCAATAATGGTTTGTTTTTTCGATTTCCATCTTATAGCACCACCTCCCAATGTAAATAAGTAACCAGTGGTTGATAATGAATCACCTGACAAGGTATTCCAATTGGCATCACTGTAACCTTCAAGTACTGTAAGATACTTATTATAAAACAAGCCAAATTTTATGGTACCAGATAAATATTTCATAATCCGCTCAATGGCTAGCCAGTGATCACTGCCAGGCTTGCTAGTAAACCTACTAAGTACTCCAACTGCATAGGCAATGTCAGGTCTAGTACAGTAAGTCGCATAGCGCAAACTACCAATCATACTACCATATTCCTTTCGATTAATTGCATCCTCATCATTTTCAATAGGAAATAAATGCACATGAGGATCGAAAGGAGTAAGAACATGCTTGTACTTATAAAAATTATATTTTCTCAAAATTTTCTCAACATAATGTGACTGATCAAGAAATATACCATCACAAGTTTTGGTAATTTTTATTCCCAAAATATAATTAGCCTCACCAAGATCTTTCATATCAAAATGGCTATCAAGCATATTTTTAGTTTCCATGATGATATGCAAATTAGAGCCAAATATAAGTAAATCATCCACATAGAGGCTAATAATAACAGTGAATTTTCTTCAGATTTACAGTAGATGCATTTATCACATTCATTCGTTTTATAGCCATTCTCAATCATGCATGAATCAAATTTCTCATGCCACTGTTTAGGGGCCTGTTTT